CCCATTTTCATTGATTTGATAACTTCAACTCATATTCTCTCTTTCTCCCCCCCCCTCTCTTCATACTCGGTAAACTGAAGTGACATTCCAGTTACCTTCATAGCGTCCAACCTTGCTCGTTACCATTAGCTTATTCTTGGAATAATTCTATTGGTTCCACGCCAATGCTTCCCTACTCCATTGACATTATAATGAAGAAACAATGCGAAAAAAATACTTTTTGAACTATCTCTACCGAAATAATACTGCTAAGAACAGAGTGAATCAATGTAGATCCCCTTCATTTTCATTATTTTTTCCTCCTCGACAACCTTCCACCCCCCCCCCCATTCCCACTCCAGTAGGGCAGATCAGTCTGAAATTCTCCAACAAAGACATTCCTGTCTTGAATTATGTGTGTGACTGCATTCTATGGACTGGCATTTATTAAAATAGGAAGTGCAAGCAAGCACATAAACATGTTAATGCACATCACACTTGGTACAGCACACACACACACATGAAGTTATAGCCGGAGGATTTATCATCAGACCAAAGTTCTCTCCTTTATCTCTCATGCACCCTTCATCACCTAAAACGACGGCACGACCTTGAACCGTTTGCGCAGTTCTCGTTCTTGTTACGTTTAAACTGTTAGCCGCAAAAAGAAGCCCAAGACAAAGGACAATAAACGTGCAACCATTAAACGGGTGCTTGTCTTTTGCACCAGTGATAGGCCTGCACGGTAGGAAAGGAAGCAAACAGAGACTGCGGCTGAAAACGCATTCTTGGGGAGGATAGAATGAGTTGAAACCAACATTCTGAATGAACAAGCCTAGGTGGAGTAGAATAAAGAATGTAGATATGTCGTGATAATCAGCTCCAAAGATAAAGAGAGTGTCATGAAGGTAGGAAGCTGAGGCAATGTGCTGGAGGATTTGAGATGATACTTAGATATAAGTATGATTTCTTAGTTATCAGCCTGCTTATTGGTCCATGAGTAATGCGTTTGGCTAATAAAAGGTGCAATAGAATTCGAGGCCCCACTCAGGAGGAATCCTAGACGTTCCTCCTCAACTCCAGTTGAATTTTACCTAACGCTGTAAGAAGTGACTAAGGTAGCTTGTTTAAATAAAGTTTTATTAGAGACTATCTTTAAAATAGTCCTCTTCAAGTTTTATTCGGCATAAAAGATAAAAAACGCACACCTTTGCTCAACTTTTTTTGAAAGTTCTTAGCGTTTGCTCATTTTTGTGAAGAAATACTATTCATTTCTGTTGTAGTTTAGCCATGATATTATCAAAGATAACTCGGACTTTAAGGAAAGAAGGTAAAGATAGAAAGCGTTGGATCATGATATTTAATTAATGAAATAAAGACATTATATTGGAATACAAGTTAGAATTGTATTGCTGATTTTAGAGTTCAGGGTACGGCAAGGATGGTGACAACTTTAATCCTGCAAAGTTGCCGAGACCAATGCGTGCCCGGATGATGGACGATTTCGAGAGAACTTCTGAGAATGCGTTATGCGTCTCCACTTCCCCTCGCCACCCGCCCCCGCCTACGATGATGATCAAACGCTGAAGCTGCGATCTTTG